CGCCACCCACTTATCCATGCACAACTAATGGCCAACTGTAAGAACAATCTTTTCTTTTAATTCTTTCTTGATTTATCTCTCTCTATTTTAGAAATGGCCAGCAACAGCCACCATCCAGTTACCCATGCACATTCAGCGGCCAAGCGTATGTATAATCGTTTTTTTTAATTCTTGATTTATCTCTCTCTGTTTTAGATATGTCCATCAACAGCCACCACCCGCTTATCCATGCACATTCAATGGTCAATTGTAAGTCAAATCTTCACTTATGTCTCTAGTTCTATTATTCTGTGTTTTTCAGAAATGGTCAACAACCGGTTCAGGCGGTGAATGTGCCACCTCAACAGCAACACCCTGCACCTCAACAATAAACAGGCTCTCCTCCTCCGGCTCCAAATGAATCATCATGTGAAGACTTATGGACTCCAGGTGTTTGTGCTGTATCTCTCTGTCTCTCTTTTTCACTGTTGTTTTTGTGTTTTTTATGACTGGAAAATAAAATAAATAATAATTAATTAATATAATGTTCTTGTGGGATTTAAGACAAGTATAGAAATCAAAATGAATGGGAAACCATGAACAGATAAATAAACACTTCCCCTCTTACTCTCTGTAGTATTTTGTCGGAGGTCTTCTAAAAATGAACTCTTATGTAGTATCTCTCTCTTTTTGTTCTGTTGAAGGAAAGCAACTCTGTGGTAGCCTGTCACTGAGAAAAATTGTGAAGAACTAGGCTAAACGGATATGACGTTTTGATACTATCTTTTGTGATATACAAAGAGCACTAATCAGTTCTATTTCGACGTTGTTAATGCATTTATTTCTTATTTCTATAGTCTATAGTATATAATTCAGAAATATTGATGTGTTTTAATTTTTTTACGTTCTTAATAAAACAATATATTTAAATTAATAGAAAAGAATTTAAGTAAAATCATTCTTAAATTCGTTTCTATTATTTCAATTTAAAAAGGTGAGGTTTATTTTCTGCAGTAAAAAGTCAAGAAAATATATGTAATCTTCGTTTATGTTTCAGTTAAAGTTTCTTCGTATCACAGATGACTACAATGGAATTACGGAACAAAACTAACCAGAACGGTTATTATTTAAAAATGATCAGCGGTGCCGATATCAAGCAATATCACATGGTGCGACCCGCTGTTACAACAAACGCTGAATTACAAGAAGAACAACAGCTGATGTCTAAAAATTTGAAAAATGAAATGAAAAGAAAAATTTACGATGGCGTATGTTCGTCTCGAGGTTGGTTTCGAGTAAGAAAGGTAAGTGTGACTGATAGACAGTATGGTTTTTTGAAAAGAAAAGGTCTGAGCGGCCAGTATAGGCCATGAGCTTATTTAATTGCTATTTTTGAAATAAAAAATACTTTCTTGGTTAAAAATAAAATTTGTCATGCAAAAAACATGCAATTTGCAGTTGAAAGACAAAATAAAATAACTACATTGCACGAAAACGATGTTAATGAGAAACTTGATTGCAGGTATCTTTTAAAAATTCGTTTTTTGATGGATTGGAACAAAAAAGAAAACTAGATCACCTAGTTATAAAGTGATGCTTATGCTTAGTTTTTTGTTGAGTTGAGAAGATACTTAGTGTACTCAACTGTGTAGTTAAAGCTTTAGAAGGCATCTGTGTGATGGTAGATAGTAAAGGCACATGTGTGGTGGTAGAAAGTAAAGGCACATTTGTGGTAGATGAAGTAGAAGTCTATCTGCTGTGCGCTTGAAAATTTACGATTCAGATGCTGTTATCTATATTGTTAAAATGATCCGCCTCGTCCGACATGCATACTTTTCGAAAATTGAAAAGTATAATGTTATCTTGGCTACATTAATGAAAAAACAAATTTTAGGATATGTTGTTTTGGTCCATAAGACGTTTAATTTAAACTAAATTTAGTTTTCAAATTTCTCATATCTAGTACACATCAAAAGAGAATATTAGAGTAAGATCAATGATTTGTCGTCAATTAGAAGAGACTACACTTAATGATGGTGATGATACAAACCGTATTACATCACCTGACAGAGGATGGGCTTTGCCAAAGGAACGAAAGTGTCACGTCTGAATGAATCTCAGATACAATATCTCACTGAGAAGTTCGATGAGGGTGTACAACCCAGAATTCGATGGAAACCAGAGGAAGTATCAGCTGAAATGCAACGAAAGAACGATTTGAAGGATAGATTCTATTTTACACCGGCCGAGTTTTTAAAACCTGGTCTGATCAGATCGTTTTTTTCACGTTTGAAAGCGATACATGAAAAGCAAACAGAAACAGTAGTTGTAGACGAAGTGGAGGAGGAAGATGACGATGAATTTGACGATAATCAGGTAGTTGAAGAGACTGAGCAAAGAAATAATTTAAGAAATTCAATGGGAATTAGCAATGAACAATCATCACCTCCAGCTTCCTCTAGAAACCGAACAGTGTCACCAGATAAAAGAGCTGGATCAACGACTGATGTTCGTCCGGCTAAAAAACGTTCGTCATCGAGGAAACGTACTGGTGTCAAACAAAATATTGAAATATTTATAATACGTCTGTCTATAGCCACTTGTACCTTCATCAGCGTACTTGATTTAATATAAAAAGTGCGTTTTTTTCATGAAAGGTTGCACAGACCCGTTTTAAGAAATTTGTGGCCCCTGTGCTGATCATTAACGTTTTCAACACATCAGTTTGTATTGTTTTTAATAATAACAAAATGCAAGGCTTAAGCCGTTCGATTGGGCTCCTGAGTCAGCCGGACCCCTGTGCTATAGCACAATTAGCACATAGGATAAGAAGGCACGGAGATCGCACTTTTAAAATAAATGATAGTATAATTAATTTGATGGTAATAATTGCAGTGCAGTATACAGTGCTGTTCGTACAGTGCAGTACTGCAGAGTAAGCGCAATAGAATCCAATAGATAAAAATAAAAATAAATGAAAATAATACCTAAACAATCCAAAACCTATTCTACATTTACAGAGATATCGAAAAACTGCCAAGCTTCTGCTAATTAATTAATAACTAATTAATTGCTTCGTCAGAATCAGTTTTGATCAAGTTTTTTCCAAACAGATTCTGTTACAAAACTTGTCGACAATCTTGAACTGCAAGATAATCTCAAGATCTTATCAGATAACGATAAATCTGGATAAGACCTGAACAGAAATCTTTCAAGTTTTTATCAAGATCTGCAGTCAAGATTTTTACTTGGAAATGTCGATGTAGGGATGTTCGGTTCTCGTTAAGGACCTTGACCGCAGTTCTCTTATTTTCTGTTCTTCATCAGGAATTAAAACCGCGTTGCCGGTTCTAACAATGGAACCGAAACCGCGGTTTCTTAGACGATACCTTTTTTTCGGAACCGACACTTTTTGACTTGTCTTTCTTTTAACAAAATGAAACAGACTATGATTGAACAGACCATTAAGTCAATTTTCAATATAAGAAACCACGGCATTGTCAACGTTTGTAGATATGACAGCTCAACCAGGTAATCAACTTATCCTATCAAAGACGACGCATCTGAGTGAGTATTTTAAAATATCTTCTAAATGTGAGGTACTTAAGATCTTCGTTTCTCACCATTATATACGCAAGACCTGGTTGCACCTTTTCCGTGACACAATGTCTTTAAAAGCAGGGTTTACGATGATGTGTTTTACGAGTTTTGAAAGGAGTGTTCGTATTCAAAATATTCTTCCTCTTCTTCACCAGTTTATTAACAACTTGTCAGTCTTCAAACTTATTTGAAAGTGTAATATCTGGTGCTATTACACTTCAACTGGGTGCTAAACAAGAAAAGATTGAATATTGGCATAATAAATATGCTGCT